GTGGGCGGTGGGGGGCCTGTTTCCCCGGGGTGCTACGGGGAGGCGGCAGCCCCGCTCGCCCCCGCGCGGGGGTCTGATCCTGCCCGTCTCCCGCAGTGGGGGGCAGCCAGAACCTGCGAGCATACTGGCCCCACTACCTGAGCCAGGCCCATGTGCTGGTGTTCGTGGTGGACTCGGTGGACAGGTCGCGCCTGCTGACGGCACGCACGCTGCTGGCTGCGGAGCCCCGGCTGCCCCTGGTTGTGCTGGCCAACAAGCAGGTGCGTGTCCATCCGTCTGTCCCTGCAGCTGCCCCCGGGGCTGTTTGCAGCGGAACTGTCCCTCCCCAGGGCCCTGAGGGGAAATCGTGATACCCAAAATCCAACGGCTCTTGCAAAATCCGATTTCTTGGGGCCTGTCTCCTCCAGTCTTTGTCAGGAGGTGCGGCTGCCATTACCGGTGCCCTGGCTAACGAGTTTTAGGAGGGCACCCAGGCAGCAGCCTGCAAAATCCCCCAAGGGAAATATACTCCCCAGGCAGGTGGCCAGATGCATGCCTGGTGCTGCTTCCCATTAGCTTGTGCCAAAGCAACTCCGAAGCGAGAGCGAGGCAGCCCTGCCTGTGGGCAGGACGGGGCTCCTGCCAGCCAGCAGCGCTGCTCCTGGCACTGCTCCCCTCCTGAGCGGCCGCCTCTCGCCCTGGCAGGATAAGAGCAACGCCCTGAGTGCGGCAGAGCTGCGGGAGGAGCTGGCCCTGCACACGCTCAGCGGGCAGCGGGAGCTCTTCCTCCTGCCCACCAGCGCGACCTGGGCCAGCCTGAGCACTGCCACCAGTGTCCTCCGTGTGAAGAGCCTGCTGGTCACCCTGCTCTCCCAGCCCTGAGCCAGCACAGGGGGCGGACAGGCTCCCACCCCCGGCACAGCTTCTCTTCAGGGTCTGCGGTGCGAGGATGGAGGCGGCCAGGCAGGAGCACTGGAGCTCAGACTCGCTGGTAGCAGGCTGCCAGTCCTGGTGTTTGCTGTGCCCCACGAGGTTTGGGGTTGAGCTGCGGCACGGCTGGCCTCGGGGAACATGAGCAGCGGGCTCTGCTCTCTGCCAGGGGGAGAGGGCAGCCGCCTCCCCCAGTTCAGGGATGAAGCCTCCCTTGGGATGGTGGCACGAGCATGGCTCTTACCTCCTGGTGAGTGGGAACGTGCAGCACAGGGCAGGGCCCTGCACCTTCATGGCAGCCCCGCAGGATATTAAATGAATGGGGCTGAACAAGCGAGGTAGCCCTCTCACCCACCGGCACAGACAGGTCATCCCAGGAGATGGGCTCTCCTTCCCGAAAAACACAGGGAGCTACTGGCACACACCAGTGGGAACAACCAGCTCAGGCTGTCCCTCACCAGGGCTAAGCACAGCTCTCAATTCCCCCAACTGTTACTTAAAGCTCTGTTTAGGAGAGATGAAGGCAGGTATCGGGAAGCCCTGCACTGCCCTTTCACCCTGAACAGGGTTAAAGACGGGCTGTTTGGTAGGAGCTGCACTCAGCAGGCGTTTGCCCCCCTGCCTGGTCTCCCTCCCTCTCAGCTGCCCCGGGAAGAAGGAGAAGGAGCCAGGCTCAGGGCCCGCAGGAAGCCCTGCCTGCAGGCAGAAGGGCTGCTGGGTCAGGCCATGGGGCGCCGGGTCCTGGAAAACCTATCGTGGAAGCTGGGGAGCACATCAGGGAAAGGGAGTACGCGCCGGCCGGTCTCTGCTGTGAAACCTTTTGTACAGTCACTCCTTCCCTTTGTCAATAAAAGAGGCCGATCACTCTGTGCTGCACTCCAGCTCCTTGGCAGGGAAGGGGCCCCCAGCCCAGTCTTCTGAGCTGGAGGCAGGAAGGTCGCTTGCGGGGGAAGGAAGCAGCGCAGCCTCTGCTTACAGGGAAATCAGCAAAGGCCCAAGTGCTGCCTGCACCCCGTGGGCCCCCAGCCCCGTTGCTGCAGGGGGTGACACGCGCCGAATGCCCATGTCCCGTGGGTTGGCACCAGGAGCTCCCTGAAGCGGGACTGCGCCAAGCGAAAGCCCATGAGCAAGACATTCACACCAACTTGAAAGAGTAATTTATTTTAACAAGGCAAAAGAAGTGCTGACTGCCACACAGAAAGGGAGCGGCACAGCGCATTCAGTCCCAGCACTACAAGCCACAGCCAAGAGTTTTTCATGCCTGGTTATAACTGTCTCTGTCTAATGAAGGTCCCTCCTCCATCGCCAGAGGCTTTGCGTAGCTCAACGTGCTGGCGCTGAGGCTGTGACTGTCGCCTGTCTGTCAGTCCCCTCTCCGTTCAGAAAATGCTCACGTCAAACCTGCGCTTGCAGGCAAACCTGAGAAAAAAGGGCAGTCACTGCACGTCCATCTTTTCCTGCTTGAGAGATGCAATGAAATCCTTGTACTCCTCAGGATAGAAATTCTTGTACACGTTGATCTTCCTCTTAATCTGCTTGGGAGTATCCTGGTAGTAGTTCTTCTCATCTCGAGCCATTTCCTGTGACAAAGGAGAGGGTAAGTCAGAGGAGTGGCCCCAAGGCCAAACACCAAACCAGCCCAGCCATGCTCCAAAGGCCCACCCAGGCCAGCTGTGATCACTGCCTGACTCAGACAAGGATCTGGCCAAGGTTCAAAGCGCTGCTTCCCCTTAACAATCGGCTGACTGCAAAACAGGATCCAGGACAGAGAGGATTAGCGATTCCCATCCTGCAGAAGATCCAGGAGCAAATGGCTACGGGTGCTCCTCGCTCTGGGACAGCCAGTACTTGCCTTGTAGTTCTCCCCGTGGTTCTGTATCATGTACCGCACGTAGTCAATGAGGTCTCGTGAGAGCGTGTTTGACTTCTTCTCGGGGAGACTGGCCTCATATTCCATCTCTAGGCAGAGGACGAAGACACCATGAAGCAGGGGAGGGAAGCAAGCAGCACCTCAGAGGTCCCCAGCCTCTTCCCAAGATTAAGCCCTGCCAGTACTGCAGAAAGGAGGTGGCTCCAGCAGCACAGCTCCACTGCTCACACACACGGGGCTGCTTCCCAGCACGATCATGCAGGAAAACGAACAAGACAACAGCCCTCCGCATAGGCTGCAGGCATGCAGGCCTGCGCTGCGGCTCCTCTCCAGCTTACACCACGAGGAGTGGAGCCCTTCCGCCCAGGCTGCAGAGCGTGACTGTTCAGAGCTGCCCAGCCCACCACTAAAACACGCGGGGTACTGCAGCCACAGTTTCTTGTCACCCTGGTGCCACAGACCAGCACATTTCAGAGTGACAAGAGCCCTCTTCGGGCTGCAGGTAGAAATATTGCGAAAAAGGCAGCACAGGAAGGAAAAGGCAATTCATGAGACAGAGGACACATGGGAACGGAAGATCTGCTGACCAGGCTCCCAGCTCAGCTGCGGCCTGGCTGGGAACCCCCAGCTGACTGCTGCCAGGGAAGTACTCCTCTACAAGCCCACAAGCCTGGACAAGGAGTAACACCCTTTCCTGCCCCTGGCACAGCACAGAGATGAGAGACAAAATAACCCACAGGGCCTTGGGA